TAACTGAGGGTACTCCTTTTCCACGATTTCCTTACAAACCTGAAAAAAAAAAGATAATCAATGCATGTTGCGGCTCAGTCACCAAACCTATACTGATATTCACGATGAACCGCGAAACGCTTCGCCTAAAAATTACAAAAAAAAAAAGAGAAAACCTCCACTTAGCTATAAAATACCACTTCGTTCGCTTCGCAAATACATTCTATCTTTAAAAAAAAAGATTTTTTGCAGGAAGCTAAAGTATCTTTCCCGGATATCAAATTTACTGAAATCAAGTTTTAGCGTATTCCAAAGCAAATCATAAAAATAAAAGGCAGTACAGGCCTCAAAGGCCCTGTGAGGAAATGGAGGAGAATAGTAAGCAGGGGCCCGAACAGCGGCCCAATCTTTTTATTTTGTATAAAACCCTCGTCGTATTTTACTTTCTGCAGTTAATGGAGGCAATTTTCGTCTGCACCACAGCAAATGGCAAAATCAGTCATCGGATGCCAAGGCTTCCTCTGCCGACGGTTGCTCAAAAGCAAACTGAAGCTGATCTCATTCTCTGGCATACTGGCTATGGCAATAGTAAAAATTTATTGTTGAAACGAATCAACAAATCGCAAGCAAAATGGCCCTTTGTCGAAAGAAAACTTTCACCCAGTTTACCCATTATGCATATGTAATGCCAAACTGAGGAAGAAGATGCAAGATGATGCGAAAAATCAACGAATTGTAACAAAAAACAAAAAGAAACTCAATCGAGACTTAGGCCAAGAAAAACCGCAGCTCGCTGGACTCATCAAGCCGCCAGAAGTGAGATAACCTAAGAAAAGGCTAAATCGGTAACTTCGCTATAACCCTGGCACTTCTACTACTTCGAAAAAGGGACGATTCATTAAGCCAACAAAGAAACATAAGCGAAAAGCCAAGAATAAAATTTTACCATTACGGCTAGATCCAAAAAGAAGCTAAAGCAACCTTCAAAAATAAGCCATCGGAAAGTTTCTGGATATTTGCTTTATGCACGGCCGTTACTTTCTTCCTGTTGTACGTGATCGCATAGTCGTAGGCAAAGCGAGCAATACGCTCGATATTTTCACGCGTTACAATCTATGAAAAGCATTTTTATACTATTCAAAAAACTAGTAGCAATTAAAAATGAATTAATCAACCGCGTATCGAAAAAAATTTCTTCATATTCCTATTCCAGGTCCCAGAAACTACTTCTTTTCTCGCTTACATCTGTACTCGAAATAGTTGTCGCAAAACTGTCGAGTA